TGACTTCCTGTTGACCTGGTTCTGAGGGATGATGATTTGGCAGGAGTTGGCATCATTGGTGTTCTTGATGGGGTGGCTCAGGATACAGATGATACGGATCACCTGGCCTGCCTTCCGCACTCGGTCCGGAATGTAGCTGGGGTCACAAATCAGCTGCTTACAGCGAGCTACCTGCAAAAACAGAGGAAAGACTTGGTCCTGGTTCCTAGCTCTTTCTTCGATCGTCATGAGCTGGGCTCAAACCCAGGGGCAGCAGCTCTCAAAGAGTCCCTCGTTTTGTTTTGTTTTTTAAAAAAGCCCCTCTTGAACTGTGCGGTCCTACTCTTCAAAGGGCTCCCAGCCTGTTCACAGAAATGGGTCCAACCAACCACCCACAGGTGGGCCAAACACTGGGATCAGTAACACTCTGTATTTTGAGGGCTATATGGCATCTATTATAACAGGAATGACCACATATACAGCTTTTGCACTTCAAGTCCTGAGGCACAAAGGACCTTTGCATTAAGCAGCAGGAGATATGACCATTCAGTTAATACTACCCAGTGGGGCCAACTTACCTCTCCCTCCGACTTCACGCCCACCACCTTGCCATTCTCCATGATGATGTCATCCACCGGTTTGTTCAGCATGTATGTCCCCCCATAGATGGCACTCAATCTGGGGGGATAGGGAGGTGATGATGAAGTCTCTCTCTAGGAGAAACTGATAAAGGGTGTCACTATCTCCCTTTTTCATCCTCTCTTCTTAGGGTACAGAGAAGGCTGTCCCTGTGCTTTGCTACTGCCACAAACTCAGCCCTGAATGTCCACCCAAAATACTCTCTAGACAGTTGTGTGGGAACAAGTCCAGAGCACAGCTCCACATGGGAAAAGCTTATGGACCCAGAAACCAAGGAAGCCCTGTGATAAGCCTGGATAAAGGTTCTGGTAGCACAGGGCCTTCCATAGTGCTGCCTCAAACTGCAAGCCAGGCAGGTATCAGATCCAGTTCTTGGCCACTGTGCCCACACTTCCCAAGTGTCCAGGGAATTCAGGTCACGGATGAGAAAGTACGACACTACGAAAATGCTTGTCCTTGGTTCTACTCAGTGATGATAATGTTGTTATGTGCCGTCAAGCTGCTTGTGGCTCACAGTGACCGTATGTACAACTGCCCTAAACCCTCCTCTGTCCTGTGCCAATACTAACTGAAAAAAAGTCACGCCCTCACCTTGCAAATCCCTGAGGCAGCTCACCGAGGCCATAGAGAGGGTATAAATATGGGCTTTTCCCATACCGGGCCAGTGATTCACTGTATAGCTTGATGCGGTTGATAGTCTCCAGACAGGGCTGGTCCAGATAGCTGAGGAAGCAGGAAAACACTGAAACAAGGACACTGCGCCCCCTATTCTGACCTGCCTGGCTAAGCGTCATTCAGAAACCAGCAAGCCCTCCCACCCCTTGGAAGGGTCAGGAACTGAGTTGTGAGTCCCATGCAGGAATAACAGACAAGTAGATGGCTAAGCAAAGAGAGCAAAGGTATGATGAGCAACACTTAAATAAGGGATCAGCCCCTCTCAGCTTTCCCTCACTCATCAGTGCGATAGAGGGCCAGGGCGTGGCCAGTGAAGTCAATGACATCCTGGCCCAAATCAAACTTCCGGTAGACATCACGCATGCTGGTAATCTGGGGGTCAACCCCTTCGAAGGTCTTAGGGTCATTCTCGTCAAAGTTCGCCACAAACACGAGGAACTTGCGGAAACGCCGTTTCTCAAACATGCCCATCAGATCTAAAAGAGATGTGAAGAGAGTCTTCTCACCAATGAATCAGAAACTTCTTCCCAAAAAGGGAAGGGAGAAAAACAGGAGCCTAAGCTCCTGTCTGGTGGCTGGGTTCCGGCAGTGATCACACTGTGTGTCCTCACATTAAGCCCTCTGCTTCTCTATGACTCGATTTCTCTGTATATCCTGAAAGGGCTCTTTAAGCTCTAAACCTTGGGGACAATTCACAAGTCAAGTAGACTCTTTCAGAGGTTAAACCTCTTCGAAAAGACACCTCCCTCATACCTCTCCAAACAACTGAGTACCTCTGAGTAACAAGCTGTGAGATGTGGAGTGAGGGCTAAAAAGGACACGTATCAAAGGATTTCTGGTTCTGTAAAATGAAACAAAAATCCAACAACAACAAAACCCCACCATCAACCTGTGTTAAAGGCACCCTGTTCTGGACCTTTCTGCCTCTCCCAAGGACAACCTGCCTCCCCTATCCCTTCCACTAGTCTCTGGCAGAGTTCCCACTCACTGGATGCCAAGGCCTCAGTCTCAGTGGATGGCACTTTGTAGATCTTGCCTCCCTTATAGACAAAGCTGCCTTCAACCACTTTAAAGTCCAAATAGCGAGTCACTTCCGTGTACAGAAGCATCTTCACTAGCTGCCCTGGTGATGAGAAACAACAGTAAGATCAGCACAGGTCCTTCTCCTGACCTGGCTGGCTGCACCCTCCCAGCCTTCCCAGTCCCCCCATGCCTCCTCTGCCCTTCTCACCATTGGCCATCAGGAATTTGGGGATAAGGTCGACATTCCAGTCTCGGCCCCGGCCCATGGATTCAGGAGGCCCCTCCACGAACTGAAAACGCTTGTACAACTGCAAGTGGGAGCAAGAGTGCGCGCTCAGGGCCACCCCTGGCTCCCAGCCCCCCAGCCCTTGCCTGGAGAACTTGCACTACTCACCTCCTCCAAGGGTGTGATGGAAGAGCTCTCCCCACCATAGTAGGGGTTCCGGTCCATGTGCAGCACCTTCTTCCCATTCACAGACATGATGCCAGACAGGATGCATTCCTGGAAGGAGACATGACAATCCCTGCAGCCCCCCATTCCCAACAGCAGTACCCCAAACCTCCGGAAGGACTATGTGCCTCTGGTCAGCCAGCCTAAACGCTGGGGGCCTTGCCCCCTTGGCCAGCAGCAGCCCCCGACCCCGGGCACCGGTGGCCAGGGCGCCGGGCAGGAGGCGCCCAGCGAGTGGGCAGCCCCGCCCTGGGCCGCGCCTTGGCGGCCACTGCGGGGCGAGGACCGACCTTCGCCTCCAGCGCCCAGCACCTTCCCCGTGTCACCAAGCCAAGGACAAAAGCTGCCATCATTAGCCCTCCGTCGCCATGGGAAACTGGGGCGGGGGGAGAGGGAATGCGGCTGCTTCTGGAACATTCACTGGCCCCCAAGCCTGGGAGCTGGAGAGAGGGGTGCAGGACCTAGCCCAGTAAAGCCCCCAGACCGCGGCGAGGGAAGCCCACATTCCCCCCCACCCCGCTTTAGCCGGAGGGGGCGGGGTCGGGCTCCTGGGGCGGTGGCCAGCGGGGTAGCCCGCAGGCTGGGGCGGGGGGCGCCCGGGGCGCACCGCTGCGGGGAGAGGAGCTGGGAGGGCAAGGTGGCGGAGGCTGTCTTTGCGGGATATAGGCGCGCAGGCTCGGCCGGCGCTGGGGCTGAGGGTCCCGAGGTCGGGTGGGCGTCGTTGGAAACCGCATCATCAGGGCGGCCGAGCCGAGGGGCCCAGACGCCGCGCGGGCGGACTCACGGTGAGGCCAGTCCCCAGCACGATCACATCATATTCCTCATCCATGGCTCAGCCTTTGGTGCCAGCGCCGGCTCCGGCTCCTCCTCCTTCACCACAGCAGCCGCCGCGCCGCCGCGCCGCCGCTGCCAGCACTGGACCAAAGATGGCGGCACGGATCGCAGACGCCCGACGCCTCCGCCGCGTCAAAGAGTCCCGGCCCCTCCCCGCCCCCCCCGCCGCCCGCAGTCAGGCGGCCCCGCCTCCGCCGCCCGCGCCCAGGCTGGGCAGCCTCTGCCCGGGCTCCGACACTCGCGCAAGCCCCGCGGGCTGACCGTTTCGGAGGACCCCGGAGGAGCGGGGCGGGGCAGGCGGTGCTGCGACCTGCGAGGATCCGTGCGC